GTCTATTTAATAGTGATCTTTTGTCTTTTGGGAAAACCCCTGACCCTGGATGATTTTCATTTGCATGTGCTGGGTCTTCATTTTGGTGTTTTTCAGGACTGGCAGCCAGACTTTGTTTACTTTAAGGGTTTCCTCTTTCCTGTTGTCATCCTCTAAGTGTTTGTGGATTTCAATGGTTTCCCTGTGCATTCTCACCAGCTAGGTCACATAGCCCGAAAAACCCACAAAAAAACCATGGATGCTGACCATGAAAGTCTTCCACTTCACATTTCACTGTAAACTACACTCGTCCCTCCACATTCGTTGGGGTAAGGGGCACAGGACCCCCGTGAATGTGGAAAAACGCAAATAACAAAAACACTATATTTTTTACCTGAGAGAACACTTCTCTAGGAATTTCTAGGTCCTCCAGTGCAAATCTGTGGTCAATATCTGCCAGACATTGACCATAGACTTGTGCTGGAGGTGCTACAAATGCCCAGGTCCTTCAGTGCAACATTTGGCTAAAGTTGACCATAGAGTTGCGCTGGAGGACCTAGATATTCCTAGAGAGAACGTATTAATAAAATCCGTGAATCATCAAATCTGCAAAAGTCAAAGCTGCAAATGTGGAGGGATGAGTGTATTTTCACCCACTGAAAACAGCTATAAAATCACTGGCAGGGTGACCAGACGCCCTAACTGCCAGGGAAGATAAGGCACCGCAAAATGTAGGACAGGGGTAGGCAACCTTTCCCCTTTAAGGGCCGAGGGACTTCAGCTCCCAGAATCCCAGGAGCTATTGGCAACATGGGACTATTGGCCAACGTGGCTGAGGCTTCTGGGAGCTGAAGTCCCTCGGCCCTTAAAGGGGAAAGGTTGCCTACCCCTGATGTAGGACATTCCAGAAAAATGTAGGTCATGACCAAATAAAAGCTAGAAACATTCATATAAATGTGAATCCATGCTTCCCAGTCAGGCTCAAAATGGAAGTCATTTTGAAATTCCTCCTGGACAGAAGGTTTAAACGTAAGGACATTGGTAAAAAAAATCTCCATGGTTTGCAGGCAAGATCCAAGAATCAGTCCCTGAACTGAAACCAGGGTTGCTGGCGGAAGAAGTGAATTGATGCTACCAAACACAGTGTGCATGGCTTGAGGTTTCGAAGAAACCAAAATAAAAAAATCCCCTATGGAGATATGATGAAATATGGAAAGTTTCAACTCACCTCTGTTGTGATCGTCACTCAGAAAATCTGAGGAACCGACCGAGGCACATGTGCAAGCCTTGCACCGTACCAAGAAATACGGGACACCACCATGCACTGGAGAAGGAGGCAGAAAAGGAGGAAAGAGGCGGAGGAAGTGTGGAAACAAAAACCGGGATGGGCACCAGACAGAAAGACTTCACACACCTCCTCACTTGGTGTGTGAGAAAGAGAGGAGGAGGTAATGGAGAGGAAAGGAGAGAAAGAGAGGGAACGAGAGGAAAGAGAAAAACAGACTAAAGAAAGAGTGCAATCACATCCAAAACCCACAAAACAGGGATACTTTTATGGGACCAATCAAAATGCACAAACTACATCATGCAAGTGGGGTAGTGGTTTAAGTATTGGAGACTGGGGTTTGATTCCCAGCTCAGGTATGAAACCCACTGGGTAACTTTGGTCAAGTCACACTCTCTCAGCCTCAGAGGATGGCAAGGGCAAACCTCCCTCTGAACCAATAATACCAAGAAAAAACCCTTCATCTTAGGGTTGCCATAAATCAGAAATGACTTGAAGGTGCACATCAACAACCACAACAAGAAGTTTTCAAAGCTTCACTGGCGTTGTCTTCATCAAGCAAAGGGGTTAAAATCATGTTGTTGTTGTTTTGTTGTTGTTGTTGGGTGCCTTCAAGTCATTTCTGACTTATGGTGACCCTAAGAAGACTCTATAATGGGGGTTTCTTGGCAAGATTTGTTCA